GGGTACAGTGTGAGGCTATTGCACTTCCTTCTGTTAAACAGCACTGAACCCCCACATAAAGGCTCCATTCAGAGTGAAGCAGCCCCTCACTGGAAGGGGCTGAAGCGACCACAATTTAGGGCCATTTAATTCCTGAAAGAGAGCCTCTATACTGGGATCCAATGTGCTTTAATTTAGCCACATTAGCCTCCTACCATTATTGTATTCATCTCAACTTTCCTGTAAATTCCCCTGGAAAAGGGCCCTTAATGAAGAAATCATCTGCCTTAGGGCTATGTAAATGCCGTATGTTTACATCACTTTCTTGGCAACACAGGCACATCAGACATAAACCACTGTATTTCCCCAAAATGGAGAAAATGTGCTATGACAGGCACCAATGCTGAAAGAGAGCTTTTAGGAGGTTGCTAATACTGTATTTTTCCTGTCAGAACATGTTGTGTTTTATTTTTGAAGAAAATAATCAAACAACTTTGCATTAAAAATAAAAAGACAGTTCTGCAATGAAAACAAAGTTAAAAAAAAAAAAGAGTTTTCCTGTTTATCTAAAACGTTACCACAGAAAGCCTTATTGTGTGGTTAAATGACATAATTACACATGATTTCCAAAAAACCACAAAATGGTCAGCATTTTTTCTGCCTGAAAAATACCCACAGAATTTTAGTAAGAATGTCACACTACCAAGACATTTTTACATCCAGACTGTTTAAATTAATGGTACAGCAGAATACATACGCACAAAATAAATTGCTTTTATACCACTTAAAGTATCTGAAGACATTAAACTTTCTTGAATTAAAATCTAGATTTATTGTTCTCATTTACTTGGCCCAGCAGTCCCAACTTAATGTATGAAACCAAGTGGGTCTCATTCCTTGCAAAGCACATGCATTCCCCACATCTAAAACAGCTGGCACAGATACGAATATTTGGGATCATATGGCTTAAACACAGTCCTGCTTCTCCAGCAGGAAACCATCTTTTACCCTAAGCAGAAGAATGACTGATTTCCCGCCTGTTCCTAGCCTGCATCCGTAAGACTAAAAGAAATGTGTTATTAACTCTGGTAATTGGACTGCAAGGAGCCTTAAATCACAAATGAATATTAAACTTTTCTTACAAGATAGAAAACTTAGGAAAATGACGCTTACCAGAGAGGGAAGCTTAAGAAGCATCAGTGATTCAGCACCCTGGATAAACTAAATTGTGCTCTAATGGCACAAAATACAACACTGAACAAATCCAGAGAAACTTAACTAGTCTTCTGAATTCAACTCTGATTTGGTTTTGGTGGTGACTACAGAAATAATAGCAGAATATTTAAATTTCAGATCTTCATTGCACCTCTAGGGTTTTACATGTAGCTGCAATCCTTAAGTTTTCATTATTTCTTAGTTCCCTTTGGGATATAACGTGGCAAGGCTTCAGCACATTAAATATTGTGGAATCTTTATTAAATCAGCTGATCTTTTGCCACCTCCAGCAGTTTTCTATAATCCTTGAAAGATTCAGCTACTGCTCACTTCCCTTTCTTAACTTAGGCAAAAGACCAATTCTAAATACAGAACATATTTCTGAGGCCAGAAACATTTTGATGGCATATTATGAGAAAGGGTCATATTTAAGAACGAGGGTAACGAACATTCAAAGTTAACAACAGAATGATAGTTGTTTTGAAACACTAAGTATATCAAAACTAACACTTATTCTAAAAAAAAAAAATTTAACTGGACTGAACTAAGGTGAACAGAAGAGATTCTCAACTGGCTAAAATAGAAATGCATCAATTTCAAAAGTGAACTTAATCATAGAGTCTAGAACGAAAAAAAGCTGCAGACATGAAGTAGTGACTTATTTCCTGCTAACTATGCATTAGTACAGTGTTTTGCTTATTGCTTGGACACACCTACACAACAAACGTTCTTACCTGCTAGATAAATGCAAAACCAATTCCAGTTCAAATATCATTAAACAAATAGTGTTTTACAGTATGGAAATATTTTATGGTTTGGGTTTTTTTAAAAGAAAAAACATAGTTCTTCCTGTTACCGCTAAATAATTTAAGATTTTTTTTTCACATTACTTTTATATTGTTCTCAAAGTAAATCTATTTTAGTATTCAAAGGAATAATTGAACATGCAGACAGTTGTGAAGCCCTGGTTTGCACAACTCCCACACAGCTCATTCTGGAGGTCGTCAGTAACCAGACCCATGCTGCGCTGCTCCGCACAAGGTGGCCTCGGGCTGCCACATACATACACATATGCAATCACACACATAACAGAAAAGTGGAAATTCTTAAACATTAAAACTACTCAACTAAGTTTCTTCAAGTCCAATTTTATCACAATTTGACTAGCATTTGCATATCAAGTTCTTAGTGAGGTAAAAATAGGACAGAAAAACATCACACGTTTCTTCAGTGCTGCACTAAATATAATTTTGCATACATTGAGTCCTCCGCATCTTCCTCAGCCACTGCCAGCTGCACGTAGTAGGGGCAAAAGGGTGGGAGGGGGGAGAATAAAATATTTTTTCATTAATCCCATTTGCTGCTAGTCCTACTCATGCAGGCTTTACTACAATAGTAACACAGAGTAAAAATTGACTACAGGAAACAAAATGGGGAAAAAAATCTAGCTTAACAGCTGAGTTAAAGAAACTTCAGTAAACCTCACTTTCAGTCACCAAGGCAGGGGAAGATACAACTTAGCTTCCATAAAAACCATTAGTAAGTCTTCTTTTTCTTGAAGACTAATTTAATAGTGTAACTAAAAGTCACTAGTTTTGTATCAGCATTTCTTAGTTTGTTAATAACAACTGTGCAGGATGCTCAGGAGAGGATGTCCAGGAGAGGTGTCTCTCAGCACACTGCCCAACTTCCCATCCCCAATCTTCCAGCAAGGGTACAGTATCGTCTCTCCAGTCCATTTCCTAGTATTTTCTATTAAGTCAAGCTGTAAGAACTCATAACTTATCATATCTTTGCTATTTAAACAAAATGGATAAATAGTTATCGTAGTTTTGTCTTCAGGCTGCACACACGCTCTCTGCTGGAACACAGCAAGTTACTGAGATTGCGTTCATATGATTTTTAAACAAAATTTTAAAAAATTGGCTATTGCTTCACTTAGGAGAATTCTCTACTCAGCTCTTAAAAAAAAAAAAAAAGAAAAATCAACACTTTTGGACCGGCTTTGTGTTCCCATTCACATTCATAGGCCAACCTGTGTTGAAAACCTGGCTAGTCAAAACAGTATTAAAACACAGTACTGTAAATCTGTAACAAACAGTAGGATAAATTAATTGGTTTTAAGAGGTAAACGTGCACTCATAACATTTGTCAAGTATTTGATCTGCACAGCCTCCTGTTTAACTAGCCTGTTAGGCTATTTTAAACAGCGAAAGTTCTATTTTAAGACTATCAGAATCAGTCTGTATCCTGTAAAACCCCATTTAATCCCAATTATGAGTAAACATCAAACATCCCACAAATACTAAAACAAGAAAGGAATTTTAATGACAAAACAATCAAGAACTTAAAGTAGTCCTAAGGAATCCATTAAAGTTTTTTGAGTTTGTTTTTGTTTAAAGGAAATGGTGCAAAATGTCCTTGCAATCCCAACGTTCCCAAGATTGCAATCTGAAGGCCCCCTTAGATGCCATGCCTTAAAAGGCAAAAAGAGTCTAGACATACTGGTAAAACAGAACATTAAAAAAATAGATGTAGGCCAGAACATTAAAGAGCGCTGCCAGCTGTACTGGGGAATGCATGAAACCTTCAAGCCTGTCTTGCTGTTTAGACTGTCTTAGAAGCGTTATACAGTAGTATCTCATCCAAAATAGATGAGAGCCCACAAACTTGCATTGCATAACTGCAAATCCACCTACTCGTGATTTTATAACTCAAGAACAGATCTGCCTAAAGACTGCAAACAAACTTGGCACACTGCAAAGAGAGGACTATAAAATGTTGTTAACAACACAAAAGCCCTAAGACTCTGGCAACAATGCCTTCGCCTTCTCAGTCACTATTCTTACTGTACCACCACCACGAACTAAACATATTGAACATCCCAAAGACTTAGGACACTATCCTATAATTCTGGAAGAGCACTTTTTCCAAAATACTTTGAAAACGTTACTAAGTGATAAAATCATATAAGATCCCAATGTTTAATAAGTTTTCATCTACAGCAGATAAAAAGTTTCTAAGCATTAAATGCAACAATGTTTCTTTTAGAAGAGTATATAATTAAACAACTAATTAATTCATTCACAACATTCAAGTAGCAATAGCAGTTCCTAGCATGAAAATAATTTCATAAGACAGAAGTTACTGAAGGCTATTAAAGGCTTGTAGAACTTAAGTATTTCATAATATTCACAACCATGCTTGTTGCTTTCTTGCATGAACATTTCAGTTTAAAATGTACAGAAAAATACTAATATGGAAATGCTTGTAGTTGATTCATAATTTTGCAAAAAATTGCCAGAACTGTTATGAGTAGTGCTGTATTACTGGCAGATTTATAGCATTTGAAAATAACAATGTTTAGCTTAAGTGAAAGTTACAGCAGAAGTATCACCATATGCAACTCCAGATTAAGCACAGAACATACTTCTGCATACCGGGCACATGGTTGCTGTACTTTTAAGCTGTACGGTAATGAAGGGAACTATCATAAACAAGTTCAGCTCACTTGCAAGCTGAACACTTTGTGAACATACATACAAGCTAAAGGAAATTTAAAGAAGCATCTTGAACAAGACATTATTCAAGCATCAACACCTAAATATCGTTTCATGTTAAAAAAATTTTAACTGAAGACACTTGTTTGGGTAAAAATGCATCATCTTCTTCCACAAGCTAAGGCATTAAATACCAGAGCCTTAATTACAATTAATACAGAAGTCAGAAATGTGATACTCAGAGTTATAGTTCCCAGTTTAATTTGCACACAGTGAGATTAAAACATTAGAAGTTACTCTGCCTACCTGAAGCCACATTTCAGGCATCGTGCCATTCTAGTAACATACTGCAGCGTGAGTACAGATTTCATCCTGGACATCTATGAAATAAAACAATACTTGAGACCTGTCACTGTAAAGACTGCATTACTTGATTCATGCTGTTGCATACTGCGTGGGCTTCTCAATTTGGGTGAGTGCTATGCCAGCTCTAAGACCTCTTTGCCCATAGTCAGTAATATTTTTGACCCATCTTTCCTCTACTCATGGTTGTACGTTCTTACACGTACTCTACATCAGGTTGGTGTTATCCAGTTTTTGCTTTCCTCCTCCCATATTCTGAAGAGTTGATGGTACAAGTGCCAGGGAAACCTAAACATTACTTCCATGTTTTGGAAACAACTGACTACACAAATCATCTGAGAATCAGGTGACTTATTTTTGAAAAAAATCAAAAATTTTTTTTTTAATCCAGCTCTAATTTAGAAGTAGCAACTACTACCACTATGGAGTTAACAGCAGGTGACCCACTGTTAAGATGTCTATTCATTGTGTATACTCTTTGTATACAAAATTTCAGTACAAAATTATTTGTTGAGGTCTAGAAGCAAGGCAGAGATTTCTGAAATGCAATTTTGAGCACAGGATTATGATTTATCAAAAAGTGTGCAAGTTGATTTGACAAAATGATGCATTAACTTGCATCAGAAATAACAGATTCCTCCCATACTGGTTATGTTACAAGAAAAACATAACCTCTTGAATTTCCAGTCCTTCTCCTTGTCTTCTTATCTCAAGAAGATAATTAAATCACTAGGGAAGCTCATCAACAAAAGGCATTACCAGAAAGATTACAAGAAAAGAAGGTAGCTTTCCAAATAATAATACCATTAGAACTACATTTCTTACTGTAGCATCTACAGTTAGTATAGTGTATCTATTACTATTACACTGGTTCATAATGGGAGGAAAAAATAGAGCATACTTATTACAGAGATTATAGAAGTTTCTTCTGAAAGCAGAACTTAAAACTATCCACCATCTTAGAGAGAAATTTGTAACAGGAATTTGGAGTTTACCGACAGTAGGACACCAGCCCCTGGCCCACCTTTCTGTGGGAAGACAACCACAGTCTCTTCTTGAGTTGCACACAGAAACAATGAAAAGCAAAGCTAAACAGAATTATCTCATCGTTCTTCCCTCTATGGTAAACGTCAGTATAAAAGTATTGCCACATGGCAATACAGATCTACAACCTTTAAAGAGAAATCTTTCCAAAGAGAAATCAAGAGTTTCAAAGACACTGAAGAGACATGGTTTACCTAAAGAGGATTTCTAAGCATATTTGTGTATTGCAAATTTGATCCTTTTAATGCGATATAACAACAGTCTTTTTCTGAGACCAAATGCCAAAGATCACCAGTATCCACTGTCATACTTAACATCTTCTGAACAAGCAGCTACAAATACCACTGAGAATCAAAGCTCAATATACAACACACAAAGCCCCAAGGATTTCTTACATAAACACACATTTATTGTTTGGAAATTTCGAGAGAATAAAAGATGGAAGATACAGTTAATCACAGAATGACTATAAACTACCAATGCAATCCTAGGATGTAACAGGAGAGGTATCTCCAGCAGAGGCTTGAAAAGTGACATGTCGTCATGCACACTGGTAAGACACACTTGAAAGGTTACCTACTACTCCGGTTGTGCCTACTGAGAAACTATTACCTCAGTCAGACGGTAGTGCAAGGAAGGGCTGCCAGACGGTCCCAAGACCAGAGAGCCCCTCTTACGAGCAGAGTCCAAAACAATTTTGTCTTGCCTTGTGCAGCAAGATGAAGGCTGGCTGAGCGCAGACAGCTGTTTCAAAGTGCATGAAGGAGTAAGGAATAGTTATGGGAAGTGGCAGTGTTAACACAAGAACAAATGGTTATAAATTTGCTAGAATTAAGTTCACACCAGAAACGAGGAAGGTTTCTACACCTCCGAAGTGCAGAACAAATGAACAAAAGCTAACTTTATGGTGAAACTATCGCTTATGGAAAAAAACGTCAGGTACAGGGCTGCCTGTGACACTGAACCTGCCTTAGAAGGCTCAGATGTCTCCTGCAGTGCTCTGCTTCTCACCGAGACCACTGAATGCTTTACATCAGGACCAAATGACCTGACCACCACGGAATGACCTTACCATGCACAGAATGTTGTCTACTGACCTCTATTAGGTACAGTCTAATTTTTTGTAGCTTAGTTAACACCCCATTTACATAAAACCAAACTTTACAATAACTACTGTGAAAGAAATCTCAATTTATTCACATTGCATTCAGTGGCCAACTGGTAACTTCTATGATTTACAGAAGGACAGCTGCCTGTAAAGCACCCGGCTCCCCACCTTAACAAACCATAAACGAAGCAGATCAGGAATCATCACACTGCTGTGCAGCTGCACAGGAGTACTGCAGGGAGACCCAGGGAGAAAGGAGCGGGGAAGAGTTAGACATGCCGTAAGATGTGACACACTGGACTGGGGTGGGAGATTGAGGACTCCATCTAATCCTCCCCTCCAGAAGTGATCAGAATGAGATGCTGAGCTGAAGGCACGAGGCCGCAATAATTAAATATAACTGAACACCTCATAACAAGTTTTCAACCGGATTCTAATAGTTAGCAATTAGCTTACTCCTTGGAACAGAAATGTTATCACTCTTAATTTTTTAATATAATTAACCATGAGAATTCTCAATAGTCTTATTACCCATGTAGGCATGTATTACAGGCTTTTTGAATTTTGTTTTCTTCATTGCAAGAGATCCTGATAGCAAGGAATTTTACTGTAGTCCTGGCCTTAACCAATTTCTGGATCTGGAAACGTATAATGACAGTAAGCCACAAAACAACTTTTTCCAACGTTCAGCTACTCTCCACCAATGAAGATGGAACTTTTTATTCTGAAAATTGTGAACATATGAACTGCTATTCCCACCAGATTTCATTTAGCTCAAAATCTTGCCTCCACTGACGGGCAATAGCATATGCTATAGAGAACAAGACGAGAGCAAGCATGCAGTAATACTTCCCAGTACACTCATCAGCAGCTTGTAGCTCGGAGACCTCCCAAGCAGAAGTATTATCTTCTTTAAAAGGAGTCTCTGATGGATTTTTGTAGCATTTGGAACAGACACATAAAGAAAAGAAAGTCTAGGGCTCTCCGAGCCACAGAGGCCATCACTAACCACCACAAATGCCATCCTCTTTTAAGCTAGCACACGATAAGGGTTTTCTGACACTTGCTACTTCCATCAGAAGGCTGCTCTGTGATCTTACTGCTCCAGGTAAACCATTCCTAACTACTGCTAATGTCACAAGAACTGGCCAGGCACAATTTTTCACATCAATTGTCCCAACTGTTAAAGGTGATACATGTTACTTTATATCAAGTGCCTGTGAAAACCTGGCAGGATCCCGGTGAGAACCAACGAGGCTCCCAACAGGATCCTGCCTGGTTTCCTCATAACTCACCTAATGGCCTGACTAACAGGCCACCCAGAGCTACGGTTCCCAAAGAAACCCAGAAGCAGACAACAGGCAGTCATGATTCAGCATGGGAATTCCAGTGGGAAATGTATGTCTACACCCAACTTTAATGACAGTAAGAACCTTGAAGGTGCAGAATTATAACAATCAAGGAAAAATAGCATTTAGAAAAGCTGAGAAGAATAAAGTGAGGGGAAAAAAAGCAGGCAATCTAAAATAAAACAATTTCCGTCAAAGAGGTGGTACCTGCTAACCAGCCTATCTCCTTTGGATGACAGCAATGGGCCCCTCCTGATTCCTCACATAGTGAACACCTTTCTTCAGCAAGCACACTCAGAAAAAGGAGACTCTCCTTAGGAAATTCAAGGGAATTGGGAAGAAGTATTGAAATGAAACACATCATTTGAGGATGTCCATAGGAATGCTTTCCAGGGATATCTGTTTGATTATCATACAATAATCTCCATGGGAAGTATTAAAGCCCCCAGAAGCATGAGAAACATTAAACCATGCCAGAGAGTAATGAAAATAAACTCTAAAGACCTTTTCTGCTCTGGTCTCCAAGGACAGCTATCTAACATCTCACATCTGCCATATGGCAAGGTACTGCTCCATCTAAATGCTGGAAAGTCAGCTGAGACAATTTCCACCTAGGTTTCAACTTCCTCAAAGGAAAAGCATTTCTTTGGTTAGTACACAAGTGTACTGGCTTCTCCCTGACTTCCATTTCAAGTTCAAACTCTCATTTTAAAAAAAAAAAAGCACACAAACATGAGAGCTCCATACTACTTTAAGTCTTCCCCCTCTTCATTTCCCTTCACACCATTTACTTCCCACCTGCCCGATGACACCCGATCAGGTGTCTCAGCCACTCCAGTAGCCCGGAAAACTCCTTTCCTGGTATGGTCAAACACTCACCACCTTCCTTCGAGCTTCTTTAAAAGAGGCTTACAGCTCCACCCCAGTTACAGCAGATGTTTCCTCGCAGATCCAAATAAACACACAAACTATTTCAACAGAACAATCAGATACAGGCAAAACAGCTACTTTCCGAAAAGCTCACCTGCCTAACAATAAAACTTTCAAAAAGAGGAAAATCAGTTCAATACTAAGCTGTTCCACATGGGTCCTTTTCATTACTTCCTTGCTATTCTTCATATTGAATATTACTGACCATTAGCAGGCAGCCATACGTACTTCATAATTGTTCAACTTAGCCTTGAATATTAATACGAAGCCCTAAATAGTAAGTTACAGTTTTCTTAGTTTGCACACCCAATTTAAAATTAACAAAAACCCATAACACTATTCAACCTTTTCTGGGAGTCAAGGGAAAGAAAGTGAACTAAGACTCAGAAATAAGCTGCGCAATACTATACCTGAATCATTATCATAACCCATTATGTCGGTGCCCCTTTAAAGGACGCTTTAGGGCATATTCTCTTGAAATATTAATAAATATCAATTAAAACTATTCTCCCCCCTAGCAGCACTTAAATTAC